AATTTTTATTCATAATAATTACTTGAATTTTAGATATATTATAATTAAGATATAAATTTAAAATTAACAAAAGTAACAATATGATTAAAAATAAACTTAAATGCTTGTAGCAAATAATAATAACAATAATAATAATAAATAATAATAATAATAATATTATTATTATTATTTATTATTATTATTATTAAATTTTGTATTCCATTTCTATCATAAATAAAAATAAATTTTATTTTAATAATTATTTTTTATTTAATATGATGAATATATAACACTAAAAATGTTCTCAAATGTTTTCGACAAAATTCTGTACACTTTCATTTTTAGTGTTCTATCTTTTTTTAAATATTTAGTATTCAATTATGATATCATGAGTTTCTTTGAAAAGTTGGATCATTGACCCACCATCTATATAAGAAATTAGCTTTGCTTTCGGATTAATTTTAAATTAAGGAAAATTATAGTCAGAATTGGTTGTACATTTAAAATTAGGCTGCAAGTTGGTCCAAAAACCAACAAAATTCTAACAATTAGCTCTACATTTCGAATTATAAAAACCCCCGCCATGTCATTGAAGGCTTATGTTAGCTCTACATTTCAAATTATAAAAACCCCTGCCATGTCATCGAAGGCTTATGTGGTTGTTGCCAACATGGGACTTAATCCATGTTGGACACAACAAAAAGCTTATACCGAAATTGCCCTTTAATGTTGGGTGATTGGAAAATAAAAGAAAAGATTTTTAGTCTATGCTCTCTCTCTCTCTCTCCCCCACTCTCTCATTCTCAAAGCCATCTCTCTCTACTCAATGACTATGTAATTTAAAAATAAATAAAAATGGTTTTTTGGTTTCTGTATTTACGTTCTTTCTATCAATTTCTCTTATTATCTGTCTACCTATTGTTCTCCCTCATTTCCTCTCATTATCTTTCTCTCCCGCTCCCTCTCTTGTTCTTTTTTTTTCCCTATTTTTCTTACACACTTATATGGTATTAATTAGATTGTATTAAAGAACATGAGTCTAATTTGGTATGGTTCAAAAATCATTGCACCAATTTGATAAAATTTCACAAGAAACTCTTGGCTATGAAATTTACACCAACTTGATAAAATATTATAACTTGATTGTATAATTAGTTGGTCCCTTTAGTTCTTTTATATAGTCTTATTAATATTGTATAAGTTTGTAAGAAAAATGAAAAAAAAAGAATGGAAGAGGTAGTGGGAGAAAGATTAAGGGAGAGAGAGAGAGAGAGAGAGAGAGAGAGAGAGAGGTTTTGATTTGGATACAAACCAAAGTTGAGAGAGTGGAAGAGATAGAGGGAACGGGAGATCAAGAGATGACTATGAAAGTGAAAGAGAAGGGAGGGAGATCAAGAGAGAGAGGGAGTGGGAGAGAAACTGAAAACCTATTTTCAGTATAGGCTTTTTGTTGTGTCCAACATGGATTAAGAGTCCCATGTTGGCAATAGCCACATAAGCTTTCGATGACATAACGGGGGTTTTTATAATTTGAAATGTAGAGCCGGTTGTCAAAGTTTTGTTGGTTTTTGGATCAACTTGCAATCTAATTTAAAATGTACAACTGACTTTCACTATAATTTTCTCTTTAAATTATATATTTTATTTACATTATATAAAATAATTTTTACTTATCACACTTAAATTTCCTCTGTATATGATATCATTTGACCCAAACCACTAGCGCACCACCCAAAAAGAAAAATAGTTTGATTTATAGGTTGACATTAAATTTTGTATTACATTTCCATCATTGATAAAATTATTTCTTATGTATAATACTTGTTTTTGTTCAATATAATGAATGCATAATATTAGAGATGTATCCAATATTTTATTTTTTATAAACATATAACATTATATATGCACCTAAATTTTTCTCTATCTTTTTTTTTGTGATTCTTTGTATTTTTTATTTTTACAAATTTTATTATTTGGCTATGGCATCATTTCATTTCTAGGTAGATTTTAAATTTGGCATTCCATTTTCATCATTAATAAAAATACTTTTTACATTTCATACTTATTTATTTTATTTTTTACTATTTAGTTGTGACACTATTTTATTAATCCATTTAATCCCAAATGGTCGAACTACTTGCGCACCACCAGGAGGGAAGCAAATAGTTTTGTTTTCAAATTACTTTACAAAATATTTATTTTTATACTATTAAAATTAATATTATGGATTTAATTACAAGAATTGATGAGAAAAATATATTTTAAATATATGTTTTAATGAAAGAGAATAAGAAAATATTTTTATTTTCAATTGATTTTAAATTTTATATTCCATTTCCATCATTAATAAAAACATTTCTTATTCATCACACTTATTATTGTTTAATATGTATTTTAAAAATGTTCCCAGTTTTTTAATTTCTATTTTTTTCATTATATTATTTAATCGTGGAAACAACATTCCATTTCCATCATTAATAAAAACATTTCTTATTTATCATACTTATTATTGTTTAATATGTATGTTATAAATGTTCCCAATTTTTTAAATTTCTATTTTTTTCATTTTATCTATTTTCAAATTTCATTATTTAATCGTGGCAACATGGATAAACCCATTTGACCCAAATTTTTTTTAATTTCTTACTACCACCTAGATGAAAACACTATTTTTTCTAGGTAGATTTTAAAAGTATAAGCTTTCATGTTATTGAAATTATTAATTTATTAAGTATGGATTTAATTAATAGAACTTAATGATGAGAAGAAACAAAAATGGCTTAAATATATGATTCAATGAACATGAATGCAAGTTAATAACTTAAATGTTGGATTTAATGAAAGGGGATTGAATGAATTAAATATCTTAAAATTACCCCTTCTCAACTCATTTAATATCAATAACCAATTACCCTATTTACCCTCATTTTTATAAATAAATTTAAATATAGAAGGGTAAATTTTGTCATTAAAAAAATTCAGAAATATTCTTGAGGCCATTTGTGCTCCTTAAAGTTGTATAGATATACAAATGTTTATTTTTTTTTGGGTAATGTACATGTGTGTGTGTATGTTTTGGAAGGTGCTAAAGATCATAGTTTACACCCATCTTGCTAAAGATCTCATCATCTCTTAATGAAACTGAAAGGGGTTAGGGATAAATAAAGAATAAGCAAACCCCATTTTGTAGTTTTCTCAGAATTTGCTAGTGAAAACAGGAGACAGACATAACAGAAGAAAAGAGTTACCACCATTGTCTCCAGAGTATGTTTCCTTTCCCTCTTTTTCTATAATGGAACTCTGGTGCAGTGTAATCTGTTTACTTCTCGTTGACCATATATATATATATATATGTGTGTGTGTGTTTTGGAAAGTGCTAAAGATCACAGTTTACACCCATCTTGTTAAAGATCTCATCATCTCTTAATGAAACTTAAAGGGGTTAGGGATGAATAAAGAATGAACAAACCCCATTTTGTAGTTTTCTCAGAATTTGCTAGTGAAAACAGGAGACAGACATTACGGAAGAAAAGAGTTGCCACCATTGTCTCCAGAGTATGTTTCCCTCCCCTCTTTTTCTATAATGGAACTCTGGTGCAGTGTAATCTGTTTACTTCTCATTGACCAGAACTTAAAAGTAGTGGTCGTGGATCATTTTAAAGAGGGATTTGCTGTTAAAATTGGGGCAGGATTGGGTTGTTTTTTTTGTCAAAATTTGAATGGACCCACTCGAGTGTCTCTGTTGGAAAATCAGTTTTTTAATAGATTAAAGAATGGGAATTTGTCACCGTTCTTAATTTCAGTTCTCCTGTGTGTGTGTGTTTTTCGAATTCCTGTTACCTGAATCTGCAGATCTGTTTAGCATATTTCATTTTTATGATCTAATGTTGTCCAAGCAGGTTAAATGATTGCACGGAATGGCTTTAAGTTGACTCCATTTCATAGGCATCTTCAATTCTTCATCTAAACTCCAACGGGAAATGAGTGTTTAGTGGAGTGGCTGAATTCGGATTAACTGAACATTATGATGACTGACTGACTGTTCAGTGCGTGGGTCGTTATCATTGATTCCACAGTCCGCTATGCATGACTGCACATCTCCGCCCATGCCGCCCCACAACATCTCACAGCATATTCCTGTCGTGTATTGACAACATAGTATAGGTAGGAAAAAGAAGAAAAAAATGTAGAAATATACAAAGTTTGTAAAAATTTTCCCACTTTTTTTTTTCTTTCCTTACTTTTTTCTTCAAACCAAACATTGCCTAAATTTATTTAGGACATTGGGAGACCACGAACATGACGTGTAGGCTGGTTAGAAACTTGGAATCAAATAGTAAAATACCATCATTCTCTGCTGTCGTTTAATGTTTATCAAATTGCAAGTTTTATTTTATTATTTATTATTATTATTATTATCATCCCAAGGTAATGTCCTTCATTTTTAATACACTAATTCCCAACACTGCCCTCGAAAATTAATAAAATACAGCCAACATCATCCTCGCCTCGTGTGCTGCTGCTCGTTTTCCTCTCTCCTCAGCTCATATTATATTCGGAGTATGCCAATTATACATCGATTGTTCTGGGTAAAGATCTCCTACAAACAAAACACTCCCAACGATGTCCCAATAAGTCATTACCGTCATACATATACATCGGAATCTTCTCTATGTGTTGCGTTTTGTTGGTAGCAGATCAATTCGGTTCTTCTGCAATGCCAAGTTGCCAACAGCCTTTCATATGGACTCGAACTCCATCAGTTTTAACGGAGGGATTGGTTGGGCCTGGTGAAATATTGCAAGTAGATCTCTTCGGTGGGCGGTGGGCCCATTATTTTTATTCCCTTGGGTATAAAATTGTGGGCCTGTTTAGCTGTAATTTGACACAAAGCCAGACCACAGATTGCGAAGGTAAACGAAGGACACTCTAAAAATTAATTAAATAAAAAAGAAAAATTCTCGTTCCAGCTTTACACCAGCTCAGATCAACTTCACATCTGCGTCCCACAATCAGCACATTTCGACCTTGTATTGAAAAAATCTCCCAATAATAAGTATAGAGAAGATGGTAAGATATCGTCGGGAGATGTTCTGTCGGGATACGCTGTGGGGCATTGTGAGGCGCAGATGTGAACTCGAAGCAAACTGCAGGAGAAAAAAAAAAACGCGCAAACAGGTTCGGTGAAAACCGGGCTAGCTTATTCCGATCCAGATCAATTTGGATGAATGGACCAGGTCATTTAAGTCAGATTTTGGCAGTCAATCAATTTTTTTTGTTGGTCTCCTACTCTCCTTCCTTCTTACGAAAGCAACTGAACTGGGTGTGTCTGTGTTCACAGTTCACACCGGACTGGGCAGTAAGGAAGGGCATTACGGTAAATATGGAGAAGGGTAGTTGCCATTAATTCACAGGGGGACTCAGGTAAAACGGCAAAATATTCCAGTTATTAACTTATTATTCCATTTTAAGTCCGAAATGATTTTTCTGTGCCTTTGTTTGTCTAAATGCGCGAGCCCCTGGAGGATGAATCAGCTATAAAAAGTCCAAAAATAAATTAATTCCTCTTTGGCACGAAAAGGAAATTTCGGGAGCGGGGCCGATCCAACAACTGAAGCCGTATTTCTCTACGTTTAATGGCGAATTGAGTATCTGCTTCCAACAGTTTCACCTCCTCTTCACTGTCTATCTCCAGAAGGCGAAGCTGGTATGCCAAAACCCTAACGGGATCTGTGTGTATGATTTGGATGTCATCTCCATTGTTTCTCGGTTCATCTTTTTGTTATATCTGCCGCGATTTCGCTTCGCCTGAATTGTCTTTCAAAAGCATTACTTTTTTTAGATCTGGACTTTTCTATCTTCTTAGATCGATGAAGACTACGTAATTTATAGTTTTGAAAGCTAACTAATGTGTAGTTTTTCTCCAAATGAATAGTTTTCTGGATCTTCAATGCATTGCAGGTTGATTTGGATGTTCCCTCTGGAGATTGGTGTGAGGACTGTTATTCCACTGACTGTGCTGAAGGGAGGAAATAGTGCTCTTGTAACTATTTAGTCTGGAAGGAAATTCGCCATTGTTTCGTCTTACATTTACGTAGAATGTTGGATTTTAGTGATCCGCGGAGCTGTTCACCCCTCTGCGAGTAGTTGTTGAATGTTCCGTCCCTTGATCTGAGGTCTAGTTCATAGATTTGGAAATATCTTCATTAAATTCCTGTTAGTTTAACATTTCATCACACTTCTTTTTTGTTCCATCTCGTAACTGAAAAGCTTAGTTCTTTGATCCTGAGGTACTTCTACAAGCCTGAGTCAGAAGATTGTTTACTGATATCTCAGTATTTCTATTTAAGAAAGAAAATCTGGTGTTGTTATTTCAATGCTTTTAGTAATTCCACGAATTAGTTGCAACATTAACGGAAGAGTCTTGTATCTTATGTTAGACTATCCTTTTTCCAGATATTGGATATTTAGGTTAAAGTTATAGGCCCTTTATTAGATTCATCAATCAGCACTTTACTGCGGTTGCATTTTCAGTCAATTTGACATGAGAAGCCACTGGTCCCACAAACTCTTTCTCAAACTTGGCCGTAGACCGCCACTCAACTGGTTACTCCTGTGCTTTGTTAGTGTCCTTGCACTAATTGTAATCTTAGCCTCCCCTTCCTCGAACACTGTGGACTCTGTTCCTTCCTCTTCCATCCCCGACATTTATAAGAACTATAGAAGGATAAAGCAGCAAGCAGCTAGTGACTATTTGGAGATAACGTCTCTTTCCTTGGGTATAAGTCATCCAAGGGAGCTTGATCTATGTAGCAAGGAAAGAGAGAATTATGTACCTTGCTATAATGTCTCTGCAAACCTGTTTGCTGGGTTTCATGATGGGGAAGAATTTGACCGTCATTGTGAAGCATCAAGATCAGGACCACGATGTCTGGTCCGACCTCCGAAGGACTACAAGATCCCACTTAGATGGCCAGCTGGTAGAGATGTGATATGGAGTGGTAATGTGAAGATAACAAAAGACCAATTCCTTTCTTCTGGAAGCATGACAAAAAGGTAAGAATATCAAATAAAGACAATTCAGAAGTGGTGCACATTACTTTTTTCTTTCAGAACTGAGAAATTGCTAATTCAAACCTGCCTCTTTCTAAAAGTTTTAAGACCCTTATTGTCATGATAATTAGTCCCTTGGCATATAGATGGGAGCCTGATTTCTTTCTATGTCTATGAGCCAATAACTCTCCCATCTTTCATCAAACATTTTAGGTTAATGTTATTGGAAGAGAATCAGATTGCATTTCACTCCGAAGATGGAATGAATATTGGTGGTGTCAAAGATTACTCTCGTCAAATTGCTGAGATGATAGGGTTGGGAAGTGACTCTGAATTTATTCAAGCTGGTGTAAGTTTTTGTTCCCCATTGCTTTCTTTTCTTTATTTATTTTTCCTTTTCTTTTCTGTTTTTTGGTGGGTATCATCTGGAACCATCAAAAACTTGTGTTACACGGATATGCACAAAACTGGCCAAGGTGTCTAACACAAAATTTACACTAAAATATGAAGCATGTGACATTGTAGATACCCAGGTATAGGTGTCTGGGTGCCATAGTCAATGACAATGTCTAGGAGGGCTCCTTATATCAAACATAAATCTTGACTTTTTGAAATATATTGCTTGGTGTAATGGTAAGATCTTGGGCTGACAAGCATAATGTGGGGGTTTATGTCTGAGAGCAGCCTCTTTGTGCAAGAAATTCCAAAGGTTAGGTCTGTATCTAAATGTCTTATTTGAATTGAATAGTTTGTTATGAAAGAGGGAGAGAGAGAGAGAGGAAGGGAGGGACTTGGGGGGAGGGGTCTTTCTTGAATTGAAATATATAGCAGAAGTCTTATTGCATTATACTATTTTGGCAACGTTTAATATCTTTTATGTTAATTACAGGTTCGCACTATATTGGATATTGGCTGTGGATTTGGTAGTTTTGGTGCTCATTTACTCTCACTGAATGTAATGACTATTTGTATTGCGGCATATGAAGTATTTGGCAGTCAAGTTCAACTGTCCCTTGAGAGAGGTCTTCCAGCAATGATTGGAAACTTCATTTCAAGGCAACTTCCATATCCAGCATTGTCATTTGACATGGTTCATTGTGCTCAGTGTGGAATCATCTGGGATGAGAAAGGTACTTATGGTGTTGGTATTGAGGCATTTTTTCCCTTATCTTGATTATTATCAAGTTCCCTAGTGTGTATTTTTGTGATACATTTAACCCTCTTTTTGTAATACTACAGTTTCTGGTTTTGTATATGCTCAATATTTGTACAGCTGCTTGATGTATTGGGTTTAATCCCATTTATACTCAATAGTTAATACAATATACTTTTCCTTCCCCCCGAAAAAAAAAAACTCCAGATGGTGTTTTCCTTTGTTTTTCTTTGGTAAATGTAATTTTCATTGTTCCAGTTTTCTACTGAAAACTTGTTACTAACTTCTTGATTAACATCCTAAATAAATAATCCTCTTCCAATATAGTGAAATTATTTTTGAAGTATATGCAAGCATTTAGCATGATAAACAAATAATAAATAAATTTGTTTAGAGTTAAATAATGCAACAAAAAGCATCTTTTTTTTTTATTTTAAAACAATACCTCTCATTTTCCATTTCTGAACTCCGTCTACAGGTAAAAGTTATCATAAAGCTAGTAATGCGATAAGAGATTCATGACTCTTGTCATGATTTGCTGTTCAGACGCCAATTTATTTCAAATTGGAGGCAAAGTAGAAGTAATATAGTCAGAAACACGAGTAGGAAGCTACCTTATTGAATTAGGCTGAAGTTAAATTCACTTGGAGATAATATCTGTAATATCAGGATTTAGGAAGAGAAGAAGAAATTAGGTTTTGAGAGAGATGACTCGTGGGTAGCAATGTGCTGTCCTATTTGCTTCTTAAAATAATAAATATACAATTACAAATATATCCCTAATAAGTAAGGGTAAAAGCAGTAATGAATAATATAAAACAAAAGAGTTAGGCCCACAGCCCAGTATGAAATAAAGGCCCAATAATCTGGAGTTTAGGATCTTAACCCTCCCCCTTGAGCTGGGCAAAGGTGTCAATCATGTCCAACTTGCTTATATTGTGCTGTAGTTTTCAGTTAGGAAAACCCTTAGTAAGAGCATTTGCTAGCTACTCTTTTGAGGCAATAGAAGGCAAACTTCTCTAGAAATAACCCTCTATTGTATGAAGGGTTGATCAACCTTAATATGGTTTGTCCTATCATGTTGAATAAGGTCGTGAGCAATGGTAATAGTAGCTTGATTGTCACACAATCATAGTTTTCAAAGCGCCAAGGCGAGGCTGGGCAACTGGGGGGCGCCTAGTTGCCTAGGCGATGAATTTTTTTATGTTAAAAAATAGATTCTAGGGTAGTTCCCTAGGTACCATAACCATATTTCTTTAATAATTATTCATGGTTTTCATAAGAAAAGTATAAATTTCATATTAAAGTATAGAAAATCAACATATTCATGAGAAGAAAAGGAAGAAGGAAAATAAAATTCAAAAAATATAGGGGCTGAACCCTTATTTTTGTTATAGGAAATGAAGAAAATAAAAAGTATTGGTAGTAGTAGTAGTAGAAGAAGAAGTAGAAGAAGAATATATGGAAGGGGAAAATGTGCTGATTATATAAAATTTTTAGTTCTTCCCTACTTATTGGTTCAGGTTTTTAAGTCTTTGAGGGTTCAATACAGTATTTAGCAATGTTTGTGTTGATTAAACCCTAATAAATAAGAAAATAATAAAAAGGAATTAGTATATAAACACACAAAATGATTATTTTAGTTTAATAATGTCTATTTTATAATTATAATCTCAAAAAAGAATGAATAAAAAAGTATTTTATAGTAGGAAGTAGAAAACTGTTAGGCGATTGGGCGAGGTGAGCCTCAAAGGTCGCCTTGTTGCCTAGGCGTCGCCTTAACAACTATGCACACAACACAACATCATAGGTTTATCAAAATCAACTCTTAGCTCACCCAGCAAGGACTTAATCCACAATGTCTTAGAAATACCATGTGCTATAGTCCTATATTTTGCCTTTGCACTTGAATGGGCAACAACTGATTGTTTCTTGCTCTGCCAAGAAACTAAATTACCTTCACCAAGAGTACAATAGCTAGAGGCCGACCTCCTATATCAATAGAGCATGCCCATTCTGTGCTAGTAAATGGCCTGAATCCTCATATGTCTATGATTAGCAAACAAAACACCTTTCCTAGGTTGACCTTTTAAGCCGCACTGGCTTCTCTCAGCAACTGCTAAAGGAGTATCTCTAGGAGCATGCATAAACTAGGTCATCACACCTGTGGCATATGAGATATCAAGCCGTGTCATATGTCATACACATGTACAAGAGTTTGCCTTCCAAACACTGGAATACTCCCTTCTTTGAGAGTAGAGTGCTATTAGAACGGACAGTCGATGATTGGGGTTAATAGAGGTATCAACTGAAGTTCTAAAACATACTTCCTCTGTGAAATAAAGATGCCTTCCTTAGAATGTGCCACCTCAATCCCAAGTAAGAATCTAAAAATCACCATGGTATTTCTTTTAAATTTCACACTAAGAAAATGCTCTAGCTTCTCCATCTCAAATGGATCATTTCCTGTCACCACTATGTCATCAACAAAAACACAATAAGTCCAGTGAGAGAAGGGCCACATCTCTTAATTGTATGATCAAATTAGGCTGCAGTATAACAAATCTTAAGTAGAGCATCTCTAAGTTAATCAAACTAGGTCGTAAGTAGTGACTTCTTTAATTAGCAAACCTTACTCTTCTCAGTAGAATCATTAAAACCGGGAGAAAAACCATATACATCTCATTCAAATCACCTTTGAATAAAGCATTCTTGACATCAAGTTGTTACAAAGGCCACGAGTAGGATGCGGCTACGGAGAGGAAAATCCAAACTAAATTCATCTTTACTACAAGTGCAAAGGTCTCCAAATAATCAACCCTGTAAGTCTAAGTTTAATCCTTGGCTATGACTATGAGTATATCCTTATATCTTTCTATTGACCCATATGCCTTGTATTTAATAGTAAACACCCATTTACAACTCACTGCCTCCTTCCCATCAAGTAAATCTACAATCCCCTAGATATTATTCTTTAATAATGCATCCATCTTACTTCTCATAGCATCCCTCCATACATGAATGTATAATGCCTTTTATATGGTTTTGGTTATGGGCTTAGATGGGACAGATGCAAGAAAGGATTTTATATGCAGGAGATAAAAGTTATAGGAAATATACTTAGAGATGCAATGGGCAGTGGAAGAGTGATGCTTACCTTTTCTAATGGAAATGGGGAGATCAAGGTTGGTAAAAGGAACAATAGAATGGGTTGGTGGTGGAATAGGTACAATAGTAGTGGTAAAAGGAGAGAGATCAATATTTGTTGTCTTTGTGGTGCTGGGGGAAGCTCAACAATAGTAGCAAGACCAACCTTTGTGTGCCTTTGATACACCTGTAAGGGTTCTGCGGTAGGAAGGGAGATAGGAAAGGTAGTAGGAGTATCAAGAGAAGGAAGAGGAATGTGAGTAGAAGTAGGGGAAGAAACATCAAACACTTCTCTCCTCTCTCCTTGAGAAGAAGCACAAAAAGAATGGGGAGTAATCCCAAAGAAAGTGGTATTCAATGAAGCAAATTCACTACCATTGATAGGATCAAAACAACAACCTTTTTGTGTGGAAGCATAACCAAGGAAGACACACTTTCTTGATTGAGGATCAAACTTTGATATGTGGGAGCCATGAAAACGAACATGGAAAGTACAACCAAAAATCTGCAAAGGAATGGATAACAAATCATCATTGGGATATATACAAGACTAAAGGGAATTATATATCCAAGAACCCAAGAAAGTACCCTATTAATCAAATAAGTTGTGGTAAGGACAACATCACCCCAAAAACGAATTAGAGCATGATACTACGGGCTACTTCAAGAATATGACTATTTTTCTTTTCAGCTGCCCTGTTCTGATGAGGTGTATAAGCGTAGGAGCTTTGATGAGTAACCCCATAATTGGATAGGTATTCTGAAATACTCTTCTCAAAATATTCTTTAGAGTTGCCATGTAAGAATCATCTAATGGAACTGACAAATTAAATTGGGTACCTCATCTAATCAATTAAAGACATGTATAGTGGAAAAAATCATCAAGACATCAACAATATCAAGAAATATCTGAAACTACCCACAAAAAGAACATGATATGGCTCTGGACACATTAGTATGAACATTATCAAAATAGGAATCTTATATTTTTATTACTTAAAAAATAAGAATTTCTGCAATGTTTTGCAAGTTAATAGCCTCAAAAGTACCCTCAAACATATCTTCAGAGAATTGGAAAGATTAACAAAGGATATAAATGCTGATTTTAGGTGGATCAGGAGGAATGCAAATGGGTTAGCAGATACTTTAGCCAAACAAGGGGCTACAGTGCAGCTATTGGGCTTCATTGTAACTTTGGTTGTAATTTTTTGGGATGACATTTGGGCCATCATTCTGTACTTATCTCCACATGTTTTTAATTAATGAATCAATCCTTATTGCTGATTAAAAAAAAGTACAACTTAGACAACTTGACATCTTTAAAGAATTTAGGAAATCAAGAGGACATACAGGAAAAAGGTAAATGATCCAAATGATAGTAAAAAGCAGCACTCTATCAACAGACTCCAAGGTAATAAACCTAAAGGCAATAGATTGGGATAGTCTTCTCTCAAGCACATCAAAGAGGAAGACCTCATTCTCATGGCCACGTCTAATAATCTTTCAAGACTCCAATCTTGAAAAACACAAAAAGTAGGGAAGGAAGTCACTGAACAGTTCAAGTCTTTGGTAAGAGTACTGATAGAAAGGAAATTGGTATTTGACTTAGGGACATGTAAAACAGATGGCAAGGTTAAGTTGTCAGAGACTTTGATGTTTCCCTTTCTTGAGACAGGAGCAAAGGATTCATAAGCAATGGAAACTTTCTCTTTGGCATGTTTACTTGAGACAATAGCATGATTAGCTATAGTACAAGTATTTAAATGGGCAAAAGCTGTGGAAAATCCAGAAGTACCAGTCATGCTTGCAACTGTATTCTCTGACTTTAGAAATGTATTGTACTTATCAAGTTCAGCTCTATCTGTAGCTCATGTCTCTGCAGTTACTGGTGGAGGTGGCCTCTAATCATCTGATGCAGTAGAAGCTACTTTAGCCTTTTAAACCTTCTTCCCACTATTACCATTTGAACCGATAAGCATGAGATGAAGATGTAATTTCCAACACGTCTCCACATGTCTCCTGAATGTGCTTAGGCTTCTTGCAATAATCATACACTCCTTTACTGTTTCTGATAAAAAAATCAGACACTCCTACCTTCTTCTCCTATACACCCTTACTTCTTGTCATAGGAACCCCCTTTGGTCTCATGCTGACATAAGCAGAACAGTTTGTAGATGGAGTATGTAGCAGCACATGTCTTCTGCTCTGCTCACTATGTACTAGATAATAGGCCTGGGAAATAGTGATATCATCCTGTGCAGAGAGATATGCTGCCTGGTGATGTCAATTTTTTTTTATTCAACCCAATGAGAAACTCAAAGAATTGGTTTCTCTCAACCAACTTCCTATTAGATAGCAGCACCCTTAACATTTCCTTACTCTACATTCTCCAGATGACCCAACTCCTACTAATAAGGCTTCAGTGTTGAAAAAATAAATGGACATTATTCTCCCCTGCTTTAGATTATTCACTTTACACCTCAGTTGATATGCACTTGCAACAGTCATAGCCTGGGAGTAGTTCTCTGCAACTCCATCCCACAACTCCTCACCAGTTTTCATCCAGAAAAAAACTCTTGCTAATGTGTGATTGCATAGAATAAACCATGAGATTATCATATAGTTTTCCTGCACCAATCGAGCATGGGAAGCATCTGGTCCTTTCACTTCCCTTGTAGTATACCCCAGTTTGCCACATCCCCTTATATAGATGCATGTAGATTGAGCCCACTCAAGATTATATTCCGATCAAGTTTCACTAAAGTAACTGAGATGCTTTAAGTATCCACAGTCCCCATTGGAGCAACTTTGGGCTCTAGGTTCTTCTTAAAGTCAATTTTAGTATGCTCCATAATTCAAGCTCCACCAGAAAATAGTACTATAAACAAAAAAAGCACTAACCTCAAACCACTTTGACCTACAGTCAAGTACACTCCAAGAATTTAGGGTTTCACCAACTGCAACCTGGGAGAAAGGGGGATGATGCAGTTGTTCCTACCATCCTCTGACTATGAGCACCAGCCCCAATTCTTCTCTTTGATGCCTAATCTGAAATAGGTCCAGTTTCTCCAGTTGGTTCTGGTTTTGAGAAAATACCTTGGCAACCTAGTCCAAATACCTCTACCAAGCAGACAAGATCAATCAAAGATAATCAGAAACTCAAAACCCCATACACACTGCTGATCCTAGTAGCGCATGGATCTAGACAAAGAGAGAAAAGATTGAAACCTTCTCTAATAACTCAGAGATCATATCTCTAATATTTTGGTTATTGTAATGAATCACATGAAAGAAAGGCAAGAAAGCAGATCAAGAAGAGAAGAAGAAATTAAGTTTTGAGAGAGATGAATTGTGGGTACCAGTGTGCTGGCTCACGGTCCAATATGAAATAAAGGCCCAAAAATCAGAATAACCTCTACAGTCCACGATCTCCACAGACCAACTTGATTAACTCAACTAGTATTTTCCAAGCATCCCCTTTATCTATCCATATACTGCTTCCACATTCTTTTCCTCAATAGGGTCCATATCTTTCATAGGCAATTAACTGGCACATACTAGAAAACAGTGATCCAGACGTCATTCTAGATGGGTGTAGAAAAAAAGTGATCCAGACGTCATTCTAGATGGGTGTAGAAAAAAGGTGATCCAGACGTCATTCTAGATGGGTGTAGAAAAAAAGTTAGATGCTGGCTGTCAACTTGATGCAACCTCCTTTACCTGGCATTGGGACTGGGAGTGCTGGAAAGATGTCCAACATCAACAGAATACATGACAAATGAGCTGTGTAACATTGTGAAAGTTTCAAGGTGAAAGAGTTCATTGAATGTGGATTGCATGTATAAGTTAGTGGGAGATTGTATTTAGGGATGTAATTGGGTGGGATTCGGATTGGATCTTGCCACATCTCAGTCCAATCTGAATATCTGATTATTAAAATCCAAATCCAATTTCAATCTGAAATTCAATCAGATCTAACGGTCTTAGAGATCCTATTGGATTTTCAGATTTTTGGATTTAATCCGAGTCCATTTCACCATCTTTATTTTTAAAATAAAAAGTACAAATAAATTTAATCACTCTTTGACTTAAATATGTAGCATAAGTTTATATAAAATTTAATATTTTGATAGTAAAATAAATTCATGAAAATAAAGTACAAGAATGGTATAAGAAACCACCCAAGAGGAGAAAACATGAACCACAATAACCATCCAACCACGATTTGCCCCAAATGAAATTCTTTACAAAAACAACCCCTGATGTCTAAAAACAAAACCTGCAACAAAATAAGGTGAGACCCTCTAACACAAATTATATAAAGTTTAATCGGACTTGGATCTTGATTGATTCAAATAGTGTTAGATCCACATTCACCCAATTATTAAATGGATCTGAACTCTAAAAATCATATGATCAATTTATGCAAATGGATAATCTGAACTGAAATAATAAGATCTGATCTTGGACCGGGTCTCAGACTTTTGGACTCCGTTGATAGCACTAATTGTGGTTATAAGAGTGTGTTCCTGTTCTCAGACAGAATAGATTGAGTTATACACTGTGAAGATGGTAGTCAACAAATAATTACTGCGCAATTTAACTCCCAACCCGCATCCCACCCCTGAAAGGAATGGAAAAATAAAAAAGGAAATTTGAGAAGCAACAAAAAATAGTGTAGTTACAGGCTGTACATCCTAATTTTATATCAATAAAATTTGCCTTACCTTTTCTCAAAAAAAAAAAAACAGGCTGTACAGCCTCTGGTTGTAGAAACTACAAAGGTTTTTCTCTATATTAATAAATGATACTTTATCTCTTCTCAAAAGAAAAAAAAAATAGTATAGTTAAAGTATAAATTAGGCTAATTGATTGCCTAGTTTTTTTTTTATTTTTTTGATCAGCAAAGGATTAATTATATTAATAGTTGAAAAAAATTACAGAAGTTTGAGTATCCATTCACCCAAGAAGACAGCATACAATAATAGCCCAAAACAAAAATTACAATAGAGCCCAAAATAGTTGCTGCCTAAGTACTCCTTGCTTGGCTAAAGTGTCGGCCATCCCATTAGCTGTCCTGCATGTCCAGGTAAAGGAAGCATTCAAGTCCTCTTTCAGGCTTTCTATCTCCCTTAAGGCATGTCTATAGATCCAAGGTACATTGTGCTCCAAGAAATAATCACTTTTGAGTCTCCTTCAATTTCCATGTTTCTAAAATTTGATTGCTTAGCAAATCTGCCTTGTAGCAATGCCATCAGTTGAGCCTTTAGTGTTGATTGCCTAGGTTTTTTGGAGGCCCAGGTGACCACTAGGCAGGAAGCAAGATATAAACATCTTAATAAGGGCAATTAACTAATTCTGCTTCCTTTACAGTTTTTTTGATAAGTAATAAAGTATTTTATTAAGATTAATCAAGATGAACCAACATAAGGTACAGCATAGAGTTCCCACAAAGAGGCATGAGATGCTGTCTCAATACAAGGCAAAATTACAACTGAACCTAAAATAATTGATCCCTATGCACCCTTGCTTAGATAAAAGCTCTGCCAGCCCATTAGCCGATGTCCTCTCCCACTGAACTCTAACTGTTAAGTTGGAAGTTAGCCACTTAAATCTTCTCATCGCCCCCCTGAATGACCAAGGCACAGTCTTTGGTTCTTTCAGAAACCCATTTACCAAGCTACAATTTAACATGGATAATTGGTGTGTGCAGCCAATTTTGGTTGATGGGAGTGTATATAGAGTTAAAATTAAGGGCTTTTTAATCCTTGTGTATCATTGTGTGTGTGTTTTCTTTTGAAATCAGGGAGGTTATTGGAAATTATTGTCATTATTTTTTGAAACCCAGGGAATTTACTTATCATTGAACCTAATGTTGACTGGACAATATTTATCAGTGTAGGATTACAAAGTAGCTGAATTAGAGTGCTGTGATTTTCACCTACAAATTATTTCATATTCAACTATGATATTTCCATTGTCATCTACTCATTATCTTCCATGATGCTACTACGTGGATCTTTCCCTGCTATTCTACTCTATATATCTTAATATCTTTTGTTAAAACCTACAGCACCTTGCTGGGGAGACTGATGTATTTTTGCGGATAAATATCAATATCACCAAACCCTCCACAATTTCATGCCATTGCTCTCTTCTCTCTCTCTCTCTCTCTCTCATGGTCAACTCTAATAGAAATTCTGTAAATCAGATGGGGCATTCCTTATTGAAGTAGACCGCGTACTCAAGCCTGGAGGTTACTTTGTTTTGACATCACCAACAAGAAAATCTCAAGGAGGGTCGTTGGATGCAAAAAAGACAATCTCATTTACACCAATTGAGGAATTCACTCAGAAAATCTGTTGGAGTCTATTGGGTCAGCAAGATGAGACTTTTATCTGGCAGAAAACTACAGATGTTCATTGTTATCTCTCTCGGTATTACACTTCTCTTTCAGTCTTACTTAAGAAAGCACTTACTTTTCCCTTTTCATTTAACTATACCTTAATATTGCATTTCTTTTTCTTTTTTTTTTTTTTTTTGTAGCAAGCAGGATGGTGTACCTCCTCTTTGTAAGGGAGATTACGATGCTCAGTCATATTATGAGCCCCTCCTATCATGCATTAGTGGAACCACTAGCAAACGCTGGGTGCCCATACAGAAGAGGTCATCTGGTTCTCAGTTGAGTTCTGTCGAGCTTGCAATTCATGGAAAGTATTGTTTCAACACCTTTCCCCCTTCTTAATCTCGTATCTATTGTTTCTACCAGTAAAAAGCCGTATCTATTGTACTTTCTTGAGCATACCCTACCTGTCATTTAACTGTATTGAATCTCATATCCGCTGGACTTTCCAGAGCTTCCCCTATTTGTCATTTTAATCTTATTGCTATTTTGTTCTAGCTATTGATTGGCATGCATACTGCAGGAGTACACCTGGAAGATTTTTCTGAAGACTCACAGTTCTGGGCATCAGCTTTAAGAAACTACTGGTCTTTACTTACGCCCTTGATTTTCTCTGATCATCCAAAGAGGCCGGGTGATGAAGACCCTTTACCTCCTTTTAACATGATACGCAATGTGATGGACATGAACGCTAATTATGGAGGTCTCAATGCTGCCTTTCTTGAAGAAAACAAATCTGTCTGGGTGATGAATGTTGTGCCTGTCAATACTCCTAATACGCTTCCTCTCATACTTGATCGAGGTTTTGCTGGTGTATTGCATGACTGGTATGATATCCATATTAGTTCCTTGTATATTGTTTTTGCATCTATGTCAGAATGGATGTCTTGGCTAGTCAAATTTGGTCCATGAGATTTATTGGGAACCCTATTACAAGTACCTTGCATATGCATATGAGTATTAGCCTCAGGGATCATGGCCAGCAATCCACTTAAATCACAATAAGAAAAAACTTAAACAGGCAGATGTGTGGTCTTGACGAGGTGTTGATTTTTGTTCTTTTTTCATTTAAGGGCCTCTCCTGGCCATGACCCAAGGTACTAGTTTTGCTTGCTGGGGTTGAAAGGTCTCTATGAAGAGCCTTCATATGTGCGGCACGTAGATAATGGGAGTAGTAAGGCTACTTTTTTGTGTTCTTTGCTAACAAAATCCTCTTTATTGCATCTCACACTGGTTCATTATAGTTATCATCCTATCAAATAAATGAAAATCAAGCAGCTAATTCAACTATTCTAAACAGTGCAGGATTCTATCAAAATAAGTGACAACTTTTCTTAAAAAATTAGGTTATGTTATGGCAACCTATTTACATGCGGCTACCAAGTGTTAGCCAAGGCATTGCTTTCAATATAACTAATAAAGGAACACCTCAAAACTCTAAATTGTGGATGACCTTCTACCAGTAGAATGTTGACAAGCATAAAGAACTTTGTAGGGGCAAAATGGCAGTTTCTGAATTTATAGTAACTAGTTCAATTTGGATGGAGTATTGGGTGGAAGAGTTGCCCCAAAATGGAATTTATTATTGTTGTGATGTGTATCTCTGTGCCTTCCCTATTTAGGAAGCAAAACTGATCAGGTTGAATCAGATTACCTAGATCCATGTATGATCTGTTAATATCAGGCTCAAATAGAATCTTACCAATTGGATTTATATCAGTTTCAAGTGGGATTTGGATATCGAATACCATTAATAAAAAAATGCCATTACCCAATGTCGGTCCCAGCTATGTGGTATCTTTGAGGGGCAGACTGGATACTCAATGCTGAATGCCATTATTGAATTGAACTAAAAACAGTAAGTATATTTCATACCATTAATAAAATGAACTAAAAAATTGCTTTGATATTGTATATTATGAACAAAATGGCTTGAAAGTGGCTTCTAATTTTAGTCGCTCTCTAAAAAAATGGCTTGAAAATAACTTCATAGAAACTTGAATATATGTGTGTGGAGGATCGATCAGATTCGTGTGGATCCATATTTGATCCACTTATAAATGGTTCAAATTTGGATTGTTGTAATTGGATCAAATTTGAATTCCAAAAAACAGACACTGTTTGCAGTTCTATCCATACTCTTACCTAGTTATGTCTATTATATGATACTCATTTTCCTTTGTAGGGTTTAAAATATAGAAAATATAGCTCACTCTCAGATAACATTGTCATGTGTGCACAGGTGTGAACCTTTTCCTACATATCCTCGAACATATGACATGCTTCATGCTAATGGACTGCTCTCTCACATTATCAATTCAGAGTGTGACATATCAAACTTATTGTTGGAGATGGATCGCATTCTACGCCCAGAGGTAGATTGAATTATCATCATATATATATATATATATATATATATATGGATTTGCAAACTTAGTTTACTAGTTAGTGTTCGTAATGATGAAAGTAGGATGCAATCCTGTGTCTAGGGTTTGACCCCCACTCTCCCAGACTGCACCAAATAAGCTAGCTGGCACCTTCAAAGTAGTCTATCTGGATGCCAAGTGAAATGGTTGAATTCTGGTTTTCCTCTAAATTATTAAATAAGCCTTAACTATCTATGGATGGGTGGAGAAACAATTGCTTGTGTCATTACTTGTAAATAAAATATGGGAATGAGGTTCAAATGATGGAACAAAAATGAAATGCTTCCATTTCTGGGGAGCTTAAAACATAATTTTAGTTTTGAAACTGCTATTGAATAGGTGAAAATTTTCTTTATGAAATAGAATTTCAAAATACTTTTATCTTTATGCCATTTTATGGGGTAGATTCATGTATACATTGCCAATGGTGATGACAGATTATCCCTTGATACCACAAGGTAACCTTACTTTTTTCAATATCTTGTCATGTAATGTTGGTTAGGTTGTGAATTAATGTGTGTACCATGTTAATCTAGGGGTGTTGAGCTAATATATTATTTGTTTATATTTATATCAACACAAGGGAGTTTAACATCTTGTTAATATCGAAACTGAACAACATATCCATGTCTTTATCTGATCATAATATTGTACACTTGCATATGTATAATGGAGATCAAGCAGACAAAACAGTAAGAAAATGTGATTTTTACTGGATCCCTGATCTTCTTTGATTGCTTATTCTGATACTTAAGACATCCGTTGCTAGGGATGGGTGGTTCTATGCGATAAATTGCATGTAATAGAGAAAACACGAGCACTGGTAACGCAGGTTCGGTGGGAAGCACGGGTAATTCAGCTCCAGAATGACAATGACCGCCTGCTACTTGTTTGTCAAAAGCCTTTCTTGAAGAAATGATCATATCAAACTTGAAGATTCTTATATTTACAGGCAGAATCAATTTTACACAGCTGGTAATTTCTCTCTCTTAATTTCAGGAATACAGAAATCATGTGATCTGTGAATGTAAACTTGTGGATATTGTGGTGCTGAAATTTTCTCTTTAGGCTCAGTTTGGAAGAGTACAGATACAATATGTAGAGTGCAAAACCTTGTATTTTGTATGGCTCGGTTTGAAAGGAGTCAAATACAAATATGTACAGTACTAATAAAGGTTTAGAAATACAAAATACAAGGCTTTGTACTGTGCATATTTGGAAAGAGTGCAAATACAAGGTTTTGCGTTGAGCATATTTGCATTTGCACTTCTCAAACTAGCCTTAGCACCAATGGAAGTTGAGTCTTTTTAGTACATAGAATGGCAATATGCCTTTGATATTCGTACCATTAAGTATCAAAGTGCTAGTGAGAAAAAATGCTGAGTTTTAAGTATGACACACTGCATGGTTAGTTATTCTTTGAATTCGATGATATTTTTGAGTTCCTGTGATGGGAATTCAATGTCAGCCGTCATGATTGGGTACCAACACAAATGCTGAATCCTTGTAGAAAGACTAAAACAATTTATGTTGACGTAGCTGAGTTGTTGAAATTGATGATCGTTGCCAACCAAGTTTAGAGTACATATATTTTGAATTTCTAGTAATTGATGAACTATTTTCTTCATTGGATCATTAAAAATTCTGGTATATATGCCCCTAGAGAGAGATAGAGTATGAACACTTATTTTTTGAAATGAAAAACTAATAAAAATTGCATTTGAAGATATCCTCATGCTGACTCCAAGGATCAAAATTTCACAATGTATCGGACTGTATTGGTCGATATGACACATATCGGCCCGCCTCTGATGCCTTGAATTTTTAAGAAACACTTTTTTTCAAACGTTGAACATTAATATTCCCTCCCCTCTCCCGAATTCTGACAAAAAAAAACTTAAAAAAAAGGTTGGCACGAGGTTCAAAAGTAACGATACACCCCATCTGCCATTTCGGGGTGTATAACTTTGAACCTTGGCTGATTCTACTCTTATTTAACAAGTTACTGCACTTTTTTATGTTAAAAAAAAAAAAGAACTAATCAGTGTGGCTTTATTCTGAATGACAGAGCAGAGCATCAACTGTCAAAAACTTCTCTTCATTATTCGCTCAGAGTGACCGATGGATTCGAGTCGGAGATTGCAACAGGGGCTATGCGGAGATGTGATCATGTGAACAAAACAATTGAATCCCCCCCTATGAGTAGCCACAGTTGGTTTTTCGAAGAATTTGTAGCAATTCATTCATCCCATTTTTTCCCCAAATTTTTTATTCTAAACTAAATGGTGTTGGAGTGGAAAATATCATTCTTGTTGAGTGGGGCTGTAGCTGGTCATGGAATGTAAGTTTGTGTATAACTCTCTCTCTCTCTCCATAGATACACACATACTCACAAGCACAAATCCATGTAACGTTGGCTGTAAGAGTATCCGTCAGCGGGGACAGTGGTTCGGTTTATTACAGCCCCCCGACAACATACAAAAAGGGTTTGGGTTTTCAATTGTGATACCATGGTGGTTAATAGTATTCAACATGGTTTGTAATAATAGAGACATACTCTTGGCCCGTAGGACGTGGCCTAACCAATCCGGATTTCTCAAGGGTAGACAAATCTCAAACAACATTCTATTAGTAAAGGAGATCTTGCATAAGATTGTATGGGCTGGTTCTTTCTATATCATGTGCTTAAAAAAAATGAATTTCCCAGACAAGTGTAATATGTTACACCGATGCATCTCCACTGCATCATATTCTATCATATTAGCAGGTAAGACAAAATGACCCTATATCTCCCTACTTATTTATAGTAGGCATGGAAGTCCTCTCTCAACTGTTAAACAAAGTCTCATCAGAGGGGCAACCGGAAGGATTGTAGATCAGTCGCAACTCGCAACAGCTCCCCCATTATACACCTCATATTTGCTGATGATTGCATTCTTTTCTGCAAAGCCGAGGTGGAACAAGTCAAGTCCCATACCAATCTACTAAAGTCCTTCGAGATCATGTCCAGATAGAAGATAAATCATGCCAAATCCAGCCTATTCTTTAGTAAAAATGTTCCCCGCCAACACAGGAGATTCTCTCCCGCATGCTACACATTAGTAAATCACTGGTTGGCCCCAAGTACCTTGATACCCAAGTTGGTTTAAATTCCCGTCACCTCTCATCTCACAAAGAAATAACAGACAAAATCTCCTTTAGAATCAACTCTTGGAGCTCCAAACTTTTGTCCAAAGCAAGGAGAACCACCCTAGTTAAATCAGCGCTTCAATCCATCCCAATGTATTCCGTGTCCACAACAATTCTTCCCCAAGTTGTAGGCTCTCAAATTGATAAGATGACTAGACCATTCTAGTCGGGTAACTCGAATAAAAACACAAAACACAGTTTCCTGGAGCAAGATCTGTCATCCAAAGATGCAAGGTGGCCTTGGATTTAGATCCTTCACAACCATGAACAAAGCCATGTTTAGTAAGCAAGTTTGGAGACTGCTAACTAACTCTAATGGGATTTGGAGCAAACAAGTAAAAGCTAAATACTTCCCACATTCCTCTTTCTTTGCTACCAAAAAAGGCCACCGCAGTTCCCCATGGTGGCAACAAGCACATCAACTGATCAGCAAGTTACAATCAAATTTGTTATGGACTATCAAAGATGGAAACTCTATTTTAGCAATGTCAGATCCATGGATTCCCACGCTACCAGGTCACATTCCGCACCTGAAAAAGTTAGCTAACAGGGATCAAGTACGAAACCTGAAGGTTTCTCACCTAATAAATGCTGATGGTACATGGGATATGTCAAAGCTTCTTCAACTTTTTCATGACCACACCATTCGGCACATCCTTCACATTAGCCCGGAACCAAATCCCTCCTCAAATTTCCTAATTTGGAAGCGTAATGCCACGGGTATCTTCTTTGTGAAATCAACCTATCAGCACTTTAACTCATTAGAGGACTCTCCTTCAAACACCTTCTTTGAGTGGAAGCTCAAAGTTCCTCACGGATTTCAGGTATTTCTATGGAAGTTGTTGTGGGATGGTTTGCTCACTAAAAACAAGTGTGCGGCTTGTCTAAGGGAAACTGAGAGGTCTTGCACCTTCTGCAACCTCCATGAAGAAACAGTCCACCACCTATTTTTCTAGTGTACCTTCACTCGTGCAATTTGGTGTGAAGCCCAAATTGGCTTAAACCCAGCTCTCATACAAAACCAACCCATGCATGTCATTATCAATGACTGGTTCCAAAGCCTAAATGCACACCATGGTAAATTATAGGCAATTTGAAGTCTAAGCTATTTCAGCATCATTGCCTATCACATATGGAAAGCACAAAACAAACGCATATTTGATAACATCATGCAACACCCAAAGCAAGTGATCAACTCATCATTTCATTATATACAGGAAGAGACCCCAAACCCATCACAACCCCAACATAACATCAATCCCTCTCCTAGAAATAATGTTCCAACACTTTTTAATGATGGCTCTTTTGATCCAAATACAGATCATGCAGGACGAGGGTTCATCTTCCAATTTCCCAGCGAGCAACTAACCATCGCAAAAGGCACTCCCTGTTGGGTGATCAACAGTTATGATGCTGAAATCCAAGCATTATTAGGAGGTTTAACAGAAGCCCGAACAAATGGAGCCAGAGAACTATGGGTATTTTCTAACAACAAAGCTTTGGTGGAGCTAGCAGCGAATGATAAAGCATCTTCTTGGACTGAGCAGTTGTACAGGAACCACCTTAAAAGACTAACCTCCTTTTTTGATGCTATATATTTTGTGCATATCTATAGACAAGATAACCACATAGCCCACCTTTTTGCTTATATATCATGCAAAGGGCAATTAAAGTAACACTACAACTCTCATGTATCTAATCAGGTTTCTTGGTCAGTTTAATACTTAAAAAAAAAACCATGTCTCCCGCCATTTGAATTTAGGGTTTAAGGCTATGAGCCAGGTTACATCATACTCATGCGTGATGAGGCTATAGATTGTACTGTAGCCGGTGAGCTCATTAGTGTGTATATCGATGAATTATGATTAACGTGAAGGGATAAGCGGGTTACTAGTAACTACAACTAGATGTCTTGTGCATTAGGGAAAGAAATGGAACTTTCACATAATGGTGAGCAGTGAGCTCAGTGACACAGCACAACCCTGCCTTCACCGCTTGCAGACCCAACAAACAAATATGAGTTTTTACATTGTACAGAAAATGGGTATGTGAATTTTCTCAATTAATTCTTTAGATGGTTGGGTGCGACGAATTCATGTATCACGGTTGAATGATTTCAGGCCATGCCCTTGAAAATTTAATAAATGCTCATCAAACAAGACCCACCCAAATTGCAAACCACCTCCTCCTTGAAGGGGGGGGGGGGGGGGGGGGTGATTGATCAAATCCCTTCCAATATCATGTATTTCCGGCAGCATAGATTAAGGGGTTCTACAATTTTTATAAGTTATAAAAATCACAAAATAATATGATATTATTTCGATGAATAGAGTGCACTCCACTCAGAATTCTGAATCTCTTGCAGACCGACAACAATTCAAAGTTTCAAACAATTCCACCTATGACAGTAATATCCGCTTTTATATTGGCATCAATTACAAGCTGATACCTACCCCAATTGTACGGTGGAGCTAAGATTTGTTGGAGTGGACTGACCAATAAACCCCCGCCCCCCCCCCAAAAAAAAAAAAGAATTGGATGTTATTAATCACATAGATGTTATATGAGATCTGCATTGATTCATGAGAGGTTGAGATTGAGAGTGTATGCAACGTACATTGGTTAGAACTTAATGTTATTAATCACATAGTGTATACATTCGTCCATGAAATTGGTTAGAACTTAATGATAGTGACAATCATATTTAGGCCATGTTTGGGAGTACTTATTTGGATCATTAAGCACTATTGGTATTTGGGAAATAAGTCTAAAATAAGTACTTATTTTAAAAATAAGGGCTTATTTTTTAAGTCCAAATTTTCAGCTTGTTTAAGTGCTTATTGTATAAGCATTTATTCAACTTTTTTCTTCCAAAACTATCCTTAGTTGAATTTTAAAATACCACTTATAAAATTATCCATAGTTGAATTTTATAAAAGTACTTTTATGAAAGCACTTCTACAAACCACTTTTATAAAAGCACTTTATGAAAGTACTTTTACGAAATCACTTTTATGGAAGTACTTTTACGAAAGCACTTTTACAAAAGTATTTTTATGAAAGCACTTTCACGAAATCACTTGCTTTCATAAAAGTAGTTTTATAAAAGTGCTTTTGTAAAAGTGCTTTCATAAAAGTACTTTTATAAAAGTGTTTTTGTAAAAACACTTTCAAAAAAAGTGTTTTTATAATTTAATAAAAGTGCTTTCAGAGGGTATATTTTGAAAATTTGAAAGAAAACGAATGACAAATTTGTCACAAATGCTTATTTAAGTGCTTATTAGAGAAAAGAACTACCAAACGCCCAATATAAAATAAATACCTATTTTAAAAAATAAACACTTGAAAAAGTTAAGTGCTTATTCAAATAAACACTTATTTTTAACTTAAGCACTCCCAAACATGGCCTTAGAGTGATAGAAACACATACAATGGCCTTTTAAAAAAAGTCTTCAAAAAAATGGATAGAAACGTATACAAGAGTTGTATCAAATTGTAAGCTAATTCTTCCCATGCTAGTTTGATGCTTGGCCTCCTATTATGTTCCATAAAAATACATTTTTCTTTTTGTCATTTACTTCTAATCTGAAATGCTTGTTGTTTGTTTTCTAGCTATTAAAAATATATGAAGGCTTGAGAGAAGCATTTATATACATATGATATGGAAAAGATATGATACTAGAAAAACTTATTAACCTATGAATCAGTATCATAGTAGAGGTGATCAATCAGGAGGTATTGATCAAAATTCATGAGGTTAAAGCTCTTTCGGCACCATGTCTTTCTGGTATTATAGATTTTTTCATATTTAGACAAACTTTTTTTTGGACTTTGGCATAGGTTTTGTGCTTTGTGTTCATGTCCGGCTTGGGCTTACGCCCGCAACAGGTTCACAAATTTCTCAATTAGGCTTTGGCCCAAAACTTTAGGCCTGATCTAGGCTCAATCTTGTCCATGATTTATTTATATAATACATATATATATATGTTTAATTTTATATTATATATAAATGTTATAAAATGACATATATGTCTAATATTTTATATTTATATAAAGGAAAATTTTCACGATATGCAATTTAAAATGTGGAAATTTTAAAAAATGTCAAAACTATCTTTCAAAAAAAATACTGTTCATTATCTTCTACATTAAAAATTTCACGATAAACAATAAACTACAGTAATTCAACACGGTAATATGGAAATACAAGCTTGGGTCGTTAGACTCAAACCTTCTCTCTCTTAATAATCAAGCGGCACTTGATTATTAAGAAGAGCCCTATGCACTAACCGTGGGGGTGAACAATTCGTCCCACCCATTTCGGTAGCCATACTGAACATCTGGGGTGAACAAGCGGGGGAAGAACATTAAGAAGAACCATATGCACTAACCGAATTTTGCAAACCCTAAGCAACAACCTCAGCCACAGGTTTACAATATCAGCAAGAATGAGTTCCGGAGTATTGTTCAGCAGTTGACAGGTTCACCCTTTGCCTCGCCCCCACAAAATCCGCCCAAACCCCTGAGTATGCATTTGCAGAAGATCCGTCCACCTCCATTGACGCCAATTAACCAACCCCAGATCCCTCCTGCACCGGCTCCTCCTTCCTCTTTCAACACTAATTTTGTCAGACCCAGTCATCTTAGTCAACCATTGGCGTTGCCGACACCACCACCGTTTACTCCCAGCGACTCGATTTGGTCCAACACGGCGGAGTCTCCAATCTTGGCTTACATGCGGTACCTTCATAATTCTATCATTGATTCAGGTCCAAGACAAAGCCCAGTCTAACCTCAAGCTCAAACTCAAGCACAAGGTCAAGCTCAGTCCTACCCCACCGCCACATGCGTTCCCTTCGCCACGGGCAAATGGTCCTGGCCTTTTGCTTTCTCCAACTTTTCCATTTCCCTTGTCATCCCCAAGCTCATTCTTGAATCTTCTGGTCCCCTCGCTCCCCCTATCCTTTGCCTTCCGGCCCTTCCCCTGGGCTTCAGACTTCCAGTAGCCTATCTCACCCAACTTCTCTTTCTCACCACCAATCATGTATTTTGGGTCCTGAGCCACAACCCCCATTTTCCCCAGGTTTTTTCCCACCTTCTCCTTTGGGATTCTTCCCTATTTCAAGCCCTATATGGAGGAATCTATAGTGTTTTCCATGACCATGAACACATGTTTTTTATCGTTCTTACGAGTATTGCTGACTCAGCTCCTAGTAGATTGGAATTGTGCTGTAACGTATACCAGTGCAAAAGGTCTTCAGAAATTTCTATCCCTTGCTTCTGTTTCCTTTTATTTTTGTTTTGTTTATCCCCCTTGCTTGATTGAGTATAGGCCCTTAATCCATAATCAACTTGATATTGGAGGTGGTTATTGGTTAGAGATTGAATACCAATCATACTAAAATTAGATGATAGGTAAAGGGTATTTTTGTCTTTGAAAGCTTGGAAATTAACTTGACACTATCCAAAATTTAAGGTACTAAAGTAAAATTTTCTCTTATATAAATTATAATAAATTTTATTCATATACATGTTTATATATACTAAACCTAATGTATTTAATGATTTATGGGGGTGTTTGGAATTGATGTTGTTTCTCTAGTGCCGTTTTTTTGTTACATGGTATGTCGCTTTTTAGAACATGTTTTTTTTTAATGAACCATAGCTGAACCAAACAGTGAATATTTCTTCATAAAACAGATTTTTCATGTGGCGTCGTTGTTTACGAAAACGCATCAGTTCTATCCTTTTTTTTTAAAAAAAAGAGAAGGACTGTACTACACACAGCGGTGGGTAGTACATCCCAAAAAATCCGCAAAACAAATAAGAAGAAGGGAAGGGGGAAGGGAGTTGATACAAAAGTCTAGGGATGGGGTAGAAGAAGAAAGAGTTTCATGAGCAAGCCAATATGCCGCTTGGTTAGCTTCTTTGAAAATATATTGGTACCGAAGACCTCCTTCAAACAGAACTCTCCTCCTCAAGCAACAAGAGATGACACCTTTCAAATTACAAGAAACTTCCGCCTTTTTGTTGAGGCACAAGATAACCAATAATGAATCACCTTTGATTAAAATAGGATATTCCTTGTAGTTTGTCGTTTGAATATGGGCTTCCCATGCAGACCATGCTTCCGCTTGGTTGATGGTAGATGTGCCAAGTTTATATGCTTTAACCGCTAGCACCCGACCAAGATAGTTATGAACAATACAAGCCACAAAACATTTTTCATCATTGTTACGAGAGGCATCGAAATTTATTTTAATAGTGCCAATTTTTGGAGCACTCTAACTAATTGGTTTCCACACTTTGTCAATTTAGGTAATGTCTTTATCTTTGCTCCCATCAAGAAACTCCACAAACATATCAAGAGCCCGTTTCAAAATAATTGGAATGGGAGTTGAAACATTATTCCTATTGTTCTAAACAACCCAATGAACAAAAGCTAGTTTTCCTTTAATAAAAGAATCCTGTTTTTCTTTTTATTGCCGACTCTTGTCCACCAATCACTTAAATTTTCACTCTCATTGTCACTCCTAGGGGTGGATCTGAACCGAGCTGAATAGTATGAGGCTCGAGCTCGGCTCGCCAATGTACTACAAGGCTCAATTCAAGTTCGGCTCGATTTGAGAAAAAAATGTTTTATAAAAATAGAAAATTATATATATATAAAAAATTATTTGATATTTAAATATCAAATAAAAAATATTTTTATTTAATATATATATATATATATATATATTCGAGCTTGGCTCATGAGCTGAGCTCGAGTAGCTTGAGGAGTGTTTAAGGTAAGTTTGAGCTCGAGTAGCTCGTGAAGAGCTCGGCTCTAGGAATGGCAACGGGGCAGGTTTGGGGCGGGGTATCCCCTCCCCGTCCCCGCCCCAAAGTCATGATACCTTGCCCCGTACCCGCCCCGTCCCGGTGGCGGGGCGGGGCATCCATTCCCCATTAGGGACAGGGAATCCCCAAATTTTCCTCGCTCCAAGGAAACTTAAAAATTATATATTTTATGGATAATTTATACATAGGATATAGAAATTTGGGGATATTTTAGAATTGAATTATAATACTTTAGGGGTAATTCAAAAATAAAATTATGGGATCCTAGGATTTTAAAAATTTAAGAAAAGTTTAGAGATATTTTACTAATTTACCTTCGAATTCGAAACAGATTCAGAGAATTATGTACAAATCCTATCCCTACCCTGTACTCGATTCAAGGAAAAATTATTTCCCCCATCTCCACCCCATCCTTATTTAAGATCCGAGAAAACCCGCCCTGTTCGGGGTGGGGCGGGGCCCAAATTTTACGGGGGAAATTGCCATCGCTATCCTAGCCACCCGTCACTCCAGTAGTGTTTAAGGTAAGCTACAATGATGCCGTAAAGGTATGATACGGTATACGGTATATTACCTGCAAAAAAGCGAGGAGGGTTTTAGGCAATTAGGGAACACTTGGGTTTTACATTTTTAGGTCTGAAACAGGAGAAGCAGTAGCAACAGGTAGTTCTCGTCAATCAAGAGGGGATTTGCTTCCTTGTCTTTCTTCTTATATCAATTCTGTTTCAGCTTGCGTGCTTGCTGAGCAGGGTCTTCTTCTTAAGTACCTCAAAACTGGGATTGAGCAGGTATGGAACCTAGCCTAATCACCATCTCCTCCAGCACGGACGTATCGGCGTTTATTGTTTACTAGTCTCTAGCATGTATAACTTTTTTCCCTTCTTTTTTGTCACTTCCTGCAGCAATGGAGCTCGATAGTGATCCTATGGAGTCATCAAGGCGGGTTCAAGCTCGCTTTGTTACGAAGCTCCAGCCTCCTTTGAGAGTTCCTCCTGTTTCTATTGCGGTTCCCTCCAACCTTACCAGGATAGGCCTTTCTGCTGTCGTCAATAATCTTCTCAAAGCTGGTAAAATTTCGTGCATCTGTCTTGTTTGTCTGTACGAATTTTGCTTCGTCTGTCTTGTGTTGAATAAATGATGATTTATGGTTGCATTTTCTTTTTTTCCCCTGATGTTTTAGTTTAAATTTTTATTGTTAACTATTGGGACTCGTAATATTAGGTTTCTCATCTTGAGATGTTCCTACTGTTTTCTGTAAGTTCAAATTAAGTTTGTAAATAAACTTTCCCTTCTACTACCTTCAATTTAAGCTCCAGCGGTGGAGATTGACAATGATCTTATGGATAAATTTAAAATGCGTTCTAACGATTTACTGGCTCTTCCACCTTTTTTCCTTTTCCATTTGGTTGCCTTTTTTTATATATGTATTTTAATATTCTTACTGTCTCATGTTTGATAACTTATTCTCATCAGGAAATTCTGACTGGGAACCCCAACCTTTTGATTTTCTCATTGATGGTGAGTTGGTACGAATGTCACTTGAAGAGTTCTTGCTTACCAAAGGCATTTCTGCGGTACTTGTCTTCCCTCAATGTTGCTTTTTATTCAATTACTAATATAGATTATTTGTCATATGCATATCAATCTTTTGGCCATTTCTACATCCCCATCCATCTCAATGCACACACACACACAGAAATGTGGATTTCATGCCTCATTAATACTTTTTATAAAATATTTATTGCTCTTGCCGATTAAAAAAGAAACTTCTTACATAGTCAAGCATTTGGGAATTCCACATATACGTTCACATTATTAACCATGTCATATGAGGATTTTTTCTAAATCTAAAATTCTAAAAATGTTACTTTAGTGGTATTATTCCTGCAGGTCTTGTTTTTTGTCCAGTAGCCAGACCAAAAGCATGCATTAATTACACAAATCAAAGAAAGTGACATGAGTACACAACCTTCTTTCCATACAATGGGTGAAAGATCAAACAGCCATATTTGACCAAAATCTCAAGATGGAATCAAAATCAGTGGATGTATTGTTCCACTAAGCATTTCTATCTTGGTTTTACATGTTTTAAGCTTGGACCTCTGGATATTTTTATTGATACATTTTCTTAGAAGAGAAGAAATCATACAATTCAAATTATAACACATCTGCCTGTCTTTATGTTAGTAGTGAAATTTTACCTATAATATGATTTTAGTATTTTTCCCAGCTAGTAACTGGTACCTTCTTGATATATATTACAGGAGAAAATACTTGAAATTGAATATATAAAGGCTGTAGCCCCACGAAAGCAAGAAGAACCTTGTTTACATGATGATTGGGTCAGTGCAGTCAGTGGTTCCAATCCTAGGTAAACTTTTGGATGGTTAATAAGATGCAACAGCATGATTCCTATTTCACCATCCATATTTAGTTTCTTTGACTGAAAACTTGAAATTTCTGATTTGCTTCATTGTTCTATAGTAACTGTTTGTGTCTTAGTCACTCTAGGATTTTTTAATTTTTAATTTTATGTTTTTATTGATAACAAGAAGCAGGAAGATGTTCTTGCATAGACTTTTCTTTTAATTATTAACCATGTCAAAGGGACCCATTAAAGTAATAAAAAGCTTCTAGTTAATCAATGAGGTAAAACCAGGTCTAAAGATTCTTCAAAAGAGTAGGCCAAGGAGATCAGAACAGAAATAAAAGCATTAGTTATCCTGAGAAATGCTTCGAAACACAAATCTGCTATTCCTACATCTTCTCTAGATGGAAATCTGTCCTAAAAGGCTCCATGCATTTGCTTCTCCACTCATTATTCATTGGGCAAATTTCAGATTAAAAACTCTTGTCCGTGCAAAACAAGCATGTCTTTGTGGGCAGTTTTCAAATTAGAAATATTTTAAAATATGGATGATGGCTAATAAAACTCATGGAATATGTCAATGCATGGTAACTGTTGAGGTCTAAGTTGACATGGACTGGGTAATGAACACATAAACCAATCAAAAAGGTCCCCTACCTGAGGGAAAACTTTGGCAGACTACAAAAATTTTCCCCTATCTGAAGGTTCAGATTGGTCACATTATCCTTTCATAGGGTAGAAATATTTTGTAGCAGTAAATTGCATAATTTTAGTCTAGAATATCTTTCTAGTGGTGCTAATTAAATGAATTTGAAATTTGTATGTTTGCCACAGCTATATGATGTGAGGGAGGCTGGATTCTTCCCGTTCTGGTTTAATAACTTGGCAACTAAGTGAACCTGTGACCTCAATAAGTATATCAGTGGTTTCTTTGATATTTAAAATGCAATGTCTTCCTCATGCAGCCAATTCCATATGGTTGGGATAAGGCTTAGATGATTATGATGAATGTCTTCCTCATGCACTGGGAAACTGCATGTGTAGGACTATTGAGCCAATGGAAGTGGCTATAAATTGAACTTTAGATTAAGTTAGTCAGGTAAAAATTCCTGCTTGTGTCATTGATAAGGTTCTGCAATTGGTTCAGAGTTTTTGCAATGTTAAAGGTACCAAATTCATCTTCAGTTTTTGTGTTGTAGATAATGCAAATTTCTATGGCATTATTGTTTTAATGGAAGCTGTGATTGTTGCCCAAAAATCTCTTACACCATCAAGCACTCCTTGCTATTGTACCAAGAATGTTTCAGAGAGAAGCTATTTGACCCATGTATTTCTTGCATATTTATATTGAAGTGATACAGAGTTCATATTAGAATTTTTATTAATTCATTCTTTTCTTGCAGATTTTGGTAAATAAGGATGCTAAGCAAAATTTCTATTTTCACTTATTTGTTAGTTCCTTTTGTTTCTTTTGCAACTTTTGATACTTATCTGAAAGAAAGAGAAATGTTGCTGATTGGTTCCTGCCAGAAAAGAGTGGGTAATGTTTTTGGGTGGTGGTGGAGCATGCCTTTCTCCATTTCTGATTGTTTTTTCCCACTAACTGATTTTTTTTTTTTTTTTTTAATTCTTTGAAAGATGAGAAAGATTCTCTCTGTACCTTTGTTCGAACCTTAATTCTTTTGAGCATCATTATGGAAGATAACTGGTTTTAAAGTAGATATATGCTGGTGTTTGATACAATGTGGAAATAAAACAATTATCATTTTCATTAACTTCCAGTTAGTATATTTTTGCCAAAAAATTAACTTCAAAATAGCTGAGTTGACGTATATCATGTAACAGGTTTATATTAACAGGATGTTATGACAGTTTTGGAAGGTAAACTTTCCAACAATTTTTTGTTCACTTTACCAGTTAAGGAGTGTTGTTTGTTTCTTACTGTTTTCCGTCTTGGCTAGTTATTTACCCAAAAGGATATGTGTAAATGCGAAGATTGGATATCTTATGCCAACCTTTAAATCTTTCCAGGATATGGAAGGCTGGTGGATTATGTAGTCATATATTGGAGGGGCATAGTGGTGCAATTACTTCTGTCAGCACAATTGGTCCAAAAGGTATATATCAAATAAAGCTTTCATTTCCTGATATGATTATCGTTTCTTTGTTTGTGACATCCAGTCCATTTAATTCAATTGTTTCCTAATCTTATAAATAGGGAATTCAATTCAAGTAAAAGAACATTTAATTCAATTGTTTCCTCATCTTACTCACAGCCTTCAAGCTGTTTCTCAGTTTCTCTTGTTTCCCATCTTTTCAATTCCTTTCTAGGGTTGGGAGTTTGCTTTCTCATCTCTTTAATAAAATCCTTTTTTCATTATTACTGATAAAATAAAAAGAATCTGTTAGATTCGAGTTGAAACCTAATGACTCTTTGCTGGTGCATAAACTGGACATTACATTAAGTGTCTTGTATTGGTATCAGGCAAAAGAATGTAAATGTAATGTATGTCATGTTACGTGTCCAAGAATTTGATCCCCCTTGGTATATGTAACTATTATTTCATTGAAGTATAGATTCAGGAGGAAAAGGTAAAACAAACATTCCGATACTGCATCAAAGTCAGCCTGATGAACAAAGAATCTGTTCTGAATTCTTTCCTGAGCTTAGTATCCTTCCATATCAATCTATACCTTGTTAGTTTATAGTTGGAGATATTTGAAGGGAGCCAAAATACTTAATTTTCTTAATGAAATTGGGAGTCTTCAAGGGCATTTTTTTCTTCTTGATTGCCCATAAGTAGCATGCATGCCCTTTTACCATAATGTTGCCATTGTTGGGGTGCTTGCACACTAACATACTTAAGGATTGCCAACGCCTCAACCTTATTGGAACCACATTATTGTCCCAGCCCAGTGCATGAGGCTCCTGCCAATCTGGGGTCTGGGGAGGGATAGATGTATGCAGCCTTACCCCTGCAGACACACTGACACAGAGGCCGTTTCCAAGAAAGTGTTAGTCTTTGAAATGGATATTAGGAAAAAAACGTCTATCCTGGATGGGCTTACCAAGAAAGCAATTGTGGGACAACCGCAAAAGAGGCACATAAGAGGCACTTGTTCAAGTGGATTGCTTCATGTGATGCTGGGATATTAGAGGCTACTGAAGTCTATATTCCTTGGGATCTGTTGAAGTCCTTTCAGTTGCCATCAGGTTCAAGGTTTTATAGAGAATAACAGTTTTTTGCCTTTATTTCTAGTTTGGCATCTGAGGTTGGTTTCTTTCATTGTTTGTGCTTTAAATTGCTTATTATGTCTGAGCTCATATGGTATATGTTTATCAATCATACTTGTACCTTGTAGGTGATGATAGTGTTACTGACCTACGAATAGCAACTGCTTCAAAAGATCATACCTTGAGGCTATGGAAGGTAAAAGGAAACTGCTACTATTGCATACTCTGATTCCTGATTTTGTTTAATTCGCTTAATATCTTGTTTTCCTCTTGAAAGTTTGATGCAGGGCAACGAGTCCTGGATCATCCTATGAAGATTAGAGCCTTCAAAATCCTGCAGGGGCATAAATCATCTATACAAAGTGTTGCTGCACAGCCTTCTGGAGATATGGTCTGGTTTATCTTCTTGCTTTTTAGCCAATGATTATGTACATAAACTGAACTAGTTTTCATATGTAAAATGATTTTTTTTTTCTGTTGTTCGCATAGGTTTGTTCTGGTTCCTGGGATTGTACCATCAACTTGTGGCAGACAAATGAATCTGATACAGAAGGTGATCTAGTGTCTGTAAAGAAGAGAAAAATGGGTTCTGAGGCTGAGGAATCCCAGTTACAGGTATTTATCCTTCTGTTTTCTGAAATGAAGACAAAAAACTTTTGGTATCTCAATCTAGAGTTTCAACATTATTATTCTGATCTGCAAAGCTGAGACTCACAAGTATCATTTAGAAGGAGTTTCTTTGGAAAGGCTGGAAAGAGACTCACAAGTATCATTTAGTGAGCTATCTATCAAACAAAAAAGTATCATTTAGTGAGCTGGGATCAAATCTGCAAACCTCAATCACAAGGTGGTTTAGGGTTAAGACATTTGAAGTTGTTCAACATAGCTTTATTGGGAAGTTGGCTGTGGAGATTCTCAACTGAACCAAATAATTTGTGGAGAAAAGTGATAGAGAAGTATGGCCTAAGGAACAATGGGTGGGATGCTGGACCACCCCCTCAAACCTATGGTTGTGGAGTATGGAAAGGAATTTGTAAGGCAGCTAGAAAGTTCTCCGACTGCATCAAGTGGGAGATGGAAGAAAAGTGAAATTCTGGTCAGACAACTGGATTGGTGACAGGCCCCCTAAAAGAGATGTTTCCTGACTTATACAATGTGGGCTTAGACAAAGAAGCCTTAGTGGCAGACTCATTCAGACTTCAGGAGAATAGCATGTATTGGACTCCCTCATTTAGAAGGAGTTTCAATGACTGGGAAATTCAGCAGGTTGCTGACCTTCTATCTCTGTTACAAAGCCAGCAACTAAATCTCCATTCCCAAGACACAAAAATCTTTAAAGGGACCAAAACTGGAGTTTTCACAGTTAAATTCTTCTATTATAAGCTAGTGAGGACTGAATCTCCTTTCGGGCCATTTGGGGGAATCTAGCTCCTACAAAAATTAAGTTCTTTGTTTGGGTTGTAGCTTTGGAGAGATGTTTGTCTAAGGAAATGTTGATAAAAAAGGAATGAGCATTCCAGATATCAGGTGCTGTCTATGTAATGAGGAGGTGAGTCAGTTGGACATCTCTTCCTATATTGTAAGTTTAGTACTACAGTATGGAGCCACTTTTTGAAATCCCTGAATCTGAACTGGTGCATGCCAGCATCAGTTAAAGCTCTTTTGGAAGAATGGCAGATTTCTGGACTTTCCAAAAAAGGGAGACTTTGCTGGGCTTCTGTCCCTCCAGCAGTGATGGGCTGTGTGGTCAGAAAGAAATAGAAGGCTGTTTGAGAAGAAATCCTCTTCTGAAGCTGAGGTGATTAATTTAGCCATAGATGATGCCATTAGGAGCTGGTTGTCAATACATTCTGATTTCAAAGATGTTACTTCTGATCATACTTTTTTGAGAGTGGACTTTTTTTGAGGTCCTTTTTTGTACAGATTCTCGTTGTACAAAGGACCAGTTATTATAATCATACTTTACCTTCTTTCAAAAAAAAAAAAAAAATACTATTCTGATCTTGTATGCATAGTATTCACAAATACATTGGGTATTTTCATTTCAACCATTCCTTCTCAATCCAACTAGTGGGCAAAGGATATTGCTTTTGGAAAACATGCCTGACAGAAGCTAAGAAGATTTCCCTTGATATATATGATGATATGACTCTATGACTCCATGTAATTGTGTATGTTTTTCTGTTCTTATTTTCTCAAAATTAACCACTTGCTACTATGTTAGATTTTTTCGCAACAATAACACATGACATCACGCCCACTTGACATTTGTTATGAATTGACATGCAAGAGTTGAATTTGAGAGGGAAAGAAGTGTATAGGGGTGAAATGATGGAAGAAGAGTTTTAGAAAAGGGTACAGGAGCTCTTTTGAGCCTGTAACTTATTCTTGTTTTATTACCATCTCAAGCCCATATTTTTATCATGTTTTGTATGGTGGAAAAATTCATCATCTACCATGAAGTAGGAAGATACAGAATTACCTTCCACATAATTGAAACCTAGATCTGTTAGAGGCAAAGCAAGGAATCTTTTGTAGGGAATTAATCCAAGCAATCCCCAAGAACCTTGTAGGAACCCAAAAGCCAAGAAGAACTTCTATCTGATATTTAGATGACTACTTGCACTGCTTTGAGAGGGGAATGTTTTGTAGGCAATTTAGGCCCTTCTGATGTGGTGATAACCGTGATGTTTCCAAAAGAACAAAGAGAAGATGGAATAAGAGGCCTAACTATCTCACCCCATTAATAGAATATTAGGGGCTGTTTGATAGCAGCCAAAAGTGGCTCAACTGAATGACTTATTGCTCTTTCTTTTATTGAATAAGTTTTTAAGGAGGTTGTGAGGTCCTTAATAACTGAATCTGAAGTTGGGATGATTACTACGTCCACAAATATTTTATTATTTAATTATTTTATCCACTAAAAGACAAAGAAATAAATCATTCAGTTCAGCCACTTCAGTTGTTTATCAAACAGTCCCTTGGCAAATAGATTATCCAGTTGTACATTTGTACTATAATAGCATGTTGACTATAATAGTGCAACATTGTGCATGGTTAAATATGGATCTGGGAGGTTATCTTCACCTGGTCAATCATTTTTCTAGGTTCAATCATCTAAAATGCCAAGATTCATCCTCCTTGATTTTTAAATTAGTATAACCACGAACCTAAATTTCTATGGGCACTGTTCCCTTGAATTTGAGGATACAAGGATATTTAAAGTAACCCTATTATGTTGTATAATTTAGTATTTGATTTTTTTTTTTAATTCTCTTGTGCAATTAAAACAATTTTATATGCTAATTTGTTAATAGGAATAGCAAGTTTTCTAGTGCAGTGTTTCAGGTTAAGATGTTGTATTCTTATTTTGAATTCTTTGTTTGGTTTTATAATCTTAATTTTTTTAAGTAATCCATGCCAAACTAATTTTTACTCGTTATAATGGCTTTCCTTGGCATTCAGGGGGAGGCTGTATCTACCCTTGTGGGGCATACACAATGTGTCTCTTCTGTTGTCTGGCCAGAACATGTGACAATTTATTCTGCATCATGGGATCATTCTATTAGAAGATGGGATGTTGAAACTGGCAAAGATTCTTTGGACATGGTAAGCAGGCAAAGCTTATATTGGCCTTTTACAGTTAAAATAAAAGTTAGTAGTATACTTGTGGAAGAAACTCTTTGGGTTAGGTCAAGTTCTGAGTCTTGCAATTCCCAGAGAAGCCAATGGTGTGCTGATCCATTGATGGCATATCAGTTTAACATATCTCATGAGAGACCATTTTATATGAATTAGTATCTGCTTTCAGTTTTGCAGTTATATTAAATGCTTGGCTTCAGTTTCTACATTTTGAAGATATGCAAAGATGTTCAGCTTGTTTGATCTTTCTACTTTTAAAGGAGTTGGCATTTGATGATGGGGGTGCACAGTGGGTTTAGACTTCATCTTCTGTTCATGTTTGACACCATATATGTTTCATCTATTATTCACTGAAAAAGATTTGATTCATGCATCATACATGCTTATAATTCCAGATAACTGAATCTATCATCCTCAAGCACTTTTTTGGGAATAGATGAGCCTTGGATTTTGGAAGGAAATTGATATGCAGGTGGCATTCAACCAGTGATTCCTATTTAAACAACCTTTTTAGATTATTCAAGCTTCAAGTAGTGAGCTCTTATTATTGTCCAAAGAAAAGTGCCCCTTTGTCATTGGTCAGGATCACTTGACCATGCGGATATTTGCATGATTTTGTAAATGGCATTTATTGGTTTAGCAAATTTATCTATGAGGCACATGGGATGGAAGGAACCATGAAGTCTCACAATGGCATATTTGGTTTAAGCAGTTTGAGCAGCTTATGTAGATGATAGAAATTGATAGTTATAATTTTCAACAATCTCCATGTAGTTCTGTGGCAAAGTCCTCAACTGCCTTGATGTTGGTGGTGAAAGCTCTGCCCTTATTGCTGCTGGAGGTTCTGATCCTATTCTTAGGATTTGGGATCCTCGCAAACCAGGTTAGTTGACAGCAAGATACTCTCTCTCTCTCTCTCTCTCTCTCTCTCCGCTCCTCAACTAAAGTTCATGTTCTTTACAGGAACTTTAGCTCCTGTCTTTCAGTTTTCATCCCACACCTCATGGATTACTTCTTGCAAGTGGCATAAGAAGTCATGGTTTCATTTGCTTTCTGCTTCTTATGATGGGAAAGTTATGTTATGGGATCTAAGAACAGCGGTATTGCCTTTTTTTCCCTTAAAATTTTAGGGATGATTAAATTTAATGAATCAATATTTATCAAAAAGAACTAATGAATCAATATCAGCTTGATTGATCTCCAAACGATATTTTTTTCTGTTCCAGTGGCCTCTTGCAGTGATAGACTCCCACAAAGACAAGGTATTTTATTCTCCTTTTTGTCTCTTTCTCTGTGGGTCCATGTGGAAGGACCTTCTCTAACGCAATGGTCTTTGCTAAAATACAGGTACTATGTGCTGACTGGTGGAAGAGTGATAGTGTGATCAGTGGCGGTGCAGACTCAAAACTCTGCATTTCTTCTGGAATTTCTATTGAGTAAGGTGAGCTCTATGTACACATTTATTTTTGCAAATACATCTTGATTATTATCTTTCTTCTCTGTAGTAGTCTATCCTTGTCCACATTGATCTTCTCAGGTTTCTGTGAGGTATGCCGATATGTTAAGAAAGGGATTTCAGTGTTCCTTGCCTTGTAAACCCCCATGACTATATATGCATTGCCTCTGGTATTCAGTCCATAGTTGTTCCTGCTCATGCCGTGGATTTAAGTGGAAAGAGGGTCAAGTTGGTCTAACCCAATCAGATTGGTGGGCATAACTGTTACCTGATGGCATCTGCAAAAATAGACAGAAATGCTAATATATGTTGCTGAAAAAAAAACTGCTAATATATGTCAATGTATTCCCATTATTTATCTCCTAAATCCTCTTTTTATAGACGCATCTAACATGAATATACTAAAGCAAAGCCCTTAAGAGGTATTTTCCTTCAAACAAGTGGCTAACCTGATTAAAAAGTAACCTCATATATTTTAGTAACAAACCAAATCCAATTTAGCTTCCTAACTCAAAAAATCCAGCAGAAAGGCTTTCAATACGCGTGGGTCAAATTCTTTCAGATAAAATAGGTTGGTAATCAGAAATTAAATCTAAGTGTCCTGAATCAATTAAAAAAAATCAACCTAAATTTACCTGTCAAATGTTTTGACAGTACCCCCTAGAAAATAGCGAGCCTATTGAGTTTTGCAGAAGAAACACTCGTTTAGGGCTTGGTAATCAATCCTATTTCATGTAGTTTGGTCATGTTGGGTTGGAGTGGCTTCAAGTTGTGTTCGGGCTGACTGAAATCCGTACTAGACCTAACTTGTTGAAATCTCTAGGTTTGTATATGAGGACATGGAAAGTGATGTTTCTATTTAGCAGCGGAGAAGATAAATTACATTTTAATTGTAGTTCAACGTTTTTGTTCTTGAAAATTTTCAATTGGCATTGGTTTTTGAACTTAAATGTTTTAATATATATATATATATATTTGCTTTAATGGTCATTTGTTTTTCCATTTGTTAATCCAGCAATACGAGTATTTGAATTGAGCATGTAGCAGAAAGATGGAAACATCTCCAACAATGCAAAGCGAAGTGCAGAGCCTACTTGCGCCAAGTTTTTGAATACTATTTATTCCTTGATGACATAGAATTGAAATTCCGGCCATGATGGAAACATCTCCAACAATCTAGGTTTCGTCAGGCTGCTTAAATTTTGCTTGTTGCCGCCATGATGAAACATACTGGTGAGATGCTGTTGAGTGAAGAAGATCAGAATCGCGGTAATTGTATTTATTTTAATCACTATCTTTAATTGATAAACTGTCTGAGCTTGTTATCGGCCGTGAATTGGTGGATTTGAATTTCATAAAATATTGTATTCTTCTCTTTCTATTAATCGTTTTTTCTCTTATGATCCTTGTCTTGCGCCTGAAGGGTGTTGAAAAATGAAAATCCAGATGAATTTAAAGGGAGCTTGCTTATGGCTTGGATCCACTGGTTTTGATTTTTAAAGTAGGATTCTATTGTCTGGTATGAAAAGGCCAATGCCTATAGGGGAAAGCCTGCTTATCCCCATCATTTACAAGATGATGGTTTAGGTCCTACAGGTCCCACCATGATCCATTTAAAATTCTGAAAAAGCTTCATAATGTAGAAATTAGATGGTTAAAAGTTGGGGATTTTTAGCCTGCACTCTATCTCAGAATTCTGATTTGCCCCCCCCCCCCTTCCCTTATAAACCATATCCTGCCCGTGAATTTGGCATCAATCCACGGGCACGGGCAGGATTCAGTCCACCCCTAAAAAATCCTAGGTCCACCTAAAGTTATCTCAGACTATGCATGGGCGCTCTGTTTGGTGGAATCCATCCAATGTTGGGGCACCAGGCGGTCATACTGCAGCTACCGTTGCAGTGCTTAACAATCTTGGCTCTTCAAGAGTGGAACTGGAAACTAGACAGCCAAGCTTAGCCTCTGTTGTTGACTTCTTGTGTTTGTTTCCCCTCGGTTAAACGAAAGATCCTATTTTGCTTAAAAAAATAGGATTGAAATGTAGTTATCACTTATCATAGTTATCACTTATGATAAGTGATAGACCGAATTGAAATGTAGAAGAGAAATGTAGACCGAATTGAAATGTAGAAGAGAAATGCATCAGATCTGGACTCGGTTCTAACTTCTTATCTACCTCCTTCAACTTAAAGTGCGGGTCCTCAGCACTTGAAAGATGAAACTCATTATCATAAAGCTGGTTTAAGAACGATGCGGGTTAGGGGCTGCAAGTCGGGCCGGTTTAGGTCGGGTTGAGGCCAACCCTAAGTTCTAAACCCCAACCATAATCCTAACCCAACCCGACCTTCAACCCGACCAACCCAACCCTAACCCTAACTAAATTCCTTAAATCCTAATCCAATCCAATCCAACCCGAAGTCAATTTCGAGTTGGGTTCGGGTTGGGCCCAACCCAACCTTCTTCCCATCCTTCAAAACCTCATAGAATTTCTCAATTTTAGATCTTAACTCAACTTTCACTACATATATTAATCCTATGTTTCATTAGTATTTGTTTGTTGATGTTATTTTATTTTTTGTTATTTTGGTGCAAAATTCAGAAAAACAAATGTTAGAAATGACTATAGTTTATTATGAGTTATGACTTACGATAGATCTTTCTTGGGTGGCAAACAACATAGAAGAGATGAAGAATAAAATTTTGAAAAAAACATAAAATAATGTTATTAAGGTTTTAATCTTTCTAATTAGGATTAAGTGAAGTGATTATCTTAAAAGAAATACATGATACCATGTGGTGAGGGCTATACAAATATTATGCATCTAAACAAATCAATGTATGTTATATATTACATATAACATATATTTATATATGACATGTACTATAGAATCAGGTTAGGGTTGGCTAAGAGGTCAACCCTAATCCAACCTGAAGTAAAGTCAGGTTCATGAATTTCAACCCTAACCCTGACCCGAACATCAACCCAACCCAACTTTTTCGGGTTGGGTTCGGGCCAACCCGGCCCAAGTTGCAGCCTTAATGTGGGTCTTGGGTATCTAGAAATTGCCACCTGTCCCATCTCAAGAGAGTTAGCTTTGCTGTTCCTATGCTGTTGAGAGTGTTTTTGGACTGGACACGTTCACCAATTCACGTCCGTGTAAAGGAAATAGGGGGTAATTATTATTTTGCCTCACTGGCATTCCCAACAATGTTCTCAACAACATAGGCCCAACAACCAAAGTTTTTCCATCTCAAGACCCTCTTAGTAGTCAGTAGGCCTGTTGGCTATACCTATACGGGTCAATTTGGATTTACTCCTTAGTGTCACGGACCTAGTTTCTTTTAGTGTCTCGTGTGGCACTTGGGCAACAGTCCGTCGCTCCACAAGTCAGCCTTCCCTTCTTAAAGCACTCTCTTGGCTCCTAGGATCAAGTAGTTTACCAACTTGTCTCTCACACTTAGGTACACACTTAGGCAACAAAGCACAAAACACACAAGGAAAGAGAGAAATGGAGAACTCAAAGAACTCTTTGTATTACTCAAGAGAGGGATACAATGCTTGATTGTTTGCTTGCTTCCTTACTTGCAAATGAGGGAGGGGATCCCCTTTTATAGGCACCTCCACCTCTTTAAAGGATTTTTCTAGAATTATGTACACTTAGCATCATCTAGAAGCACCTCTAGAACATTCTACCTTCTACACTTTTGTAGGGGATGCCTTCTCCATAAGATATAAGAACACTCTAGAGAAAGTCTAGATTGTTCCCAACCCCTCTAGGTTCTTCCACACAAACCCAGATTGTTCCACAAGGTTCTAGAGAGTTCCACCAACATATAGACCCTTATAAACACATGGAAAACACTATAAAACACCTTGGAACGTTCCATAACACCCCAGAAACATGCAGAATTGGCTAAAAGCCTCAAGAAACATCTAGAAAGCCTCTAGTCAAGCACTCCATTGTGTCACTCCGTGACATTAGGCTCCTCATGAGTTCAGATTGACTTTCCACAATGTGCCATGTTCTGTGGGGAGCCAATACGAATTCTCTCCTTACACCAACCTCACAGTATATATGTGTGCATTAGGAACATCTCACCATGAATGGCATGACAACATACATGCATAGAAAATGTTCCAATGCATGGCTGAATATGAGTATGCTGTGAGGTTGGTGTGATGAGTGGTCTCTGAGGAGCAGATCAGAGAGCAAATCTGGTACCCATACATACCACGGAGAGCCTGTGGTTATGAAATTTGTATGGGTGTGCCACAGAGTGTGCCCCACACCACATCCCAACCATGTATTGGGAACATCTCCCCATGACAAATATGTGAGATGTTCTCAATGCATGCTGAGATGTGCATGTGGGGCGGGTTTGAACCCATAGAGTATATAAGGTTGTTTATCTAGGGGTTAGAAGGCTTTGCCTCCATTAATGTAACGATATACAAGTTGAGCTCATACTCTACCTTTTATGTAGGCCCAAGGACAAATTAAGCTCAACAGTTTGATGAGTTGGGATCACCTGCCAATAAAGTACATTTCAACACTCTACCAACTTGATCTGTCACCACACATCTCACTATGACACTAGGACCCACCATGTATGAGATGTTCAGTGACAGTTGGTAGGGTGTTGGAATGTATTTTGTTGGCAGGTGATCCAAGCTCGTTTAATATAAATTTCTATGAATAACTAATTTTTTCATATTTGGATGTCATACGCCCAAAGCCCAGCCCAACCTTATCCATGATCCTCCTACGTGCCACATCTTTTAGCAGCTTTCACCATTCTGTGTGGAAGTGTGGAACATCTAAGTTCATTTTCAACATCTGGGTAGGAGAGTTGTTTGGATTGTTTTCTTTTCAGCTATATTGGGTTGATTGAAAAGAAGTCAAGATTTGTTGCCCACCATAGGGAACATCTTAGTTGTCAATCATGGGGGGATATTCCCAATGTGTGGCTATAGCGTCCTGTGGGTATATATGGGTTGCAGATCTAAATGTTGTGTTTGGTTGCAGTGCAATTTTATTTGCACTAGTACAAATGTATGGGAGTGCAAATGAAAAAAATGCAAATTTTGTCTTGCCTTTTACTTTATTATGCTTTAGCCCTTATTTTACTTCATTTTTAATGCAACCAAACCAAGGTAAAATTTGAAACAAAAATAAATCAAAACTTGCAGCCAAATCATTTGCACTAGCATAATTTTGCATCAGTGCAAATAAATTTGCACTGCAACCAAACACAGCCAAACTTACAAAGAAGAGTCTGGATTTGCTACCAACATGCTGCCTCCACAATATAATCCCCATCAATGACAACATACAAGTACAAATTATGTTTTGAGATATGTGATTGAAAAGACTGCAAATACAAATATGTACTGTGCAAATACATACAAAATACAAGGTTTTGCACTCTATATATTTGCATTTGCACTCTTCCCAACTAAGCCTAGGTTGCGTTTGGAAATGATGCAAATGGAGTGTAAATCCTGGTTCAGGATAAATTTGYACTCTGGTTCACTTTTGTTTGTGTTTGACAACATTACATTTATTCATTGACAAATGATAGAAAACATATTTTTCAATGCATATTTACATTGATAATAACTAATAAGATGTAAAAGTACATCAATAAAAAAGAAGTAAATTTACATTCAAGTGGACTTTTGATAAAAAAAGGCATATGCCTTATTGAAATTCGTGTTTGCATCCATTACAGCTAAAAGTCTGTTTGGTAAGAAGGTAAATTTGTTGGTGCAAAACTAACCCAACTTTACAATTTATATGAATTGTTTTACACTCTACATATTTACACTTATTTGCATCATTTTCAAACGCAGCCTTAATATCATGTTGAAAGCAAATTTGAACTTGATAGAAAATAAGAGAGAAATAGCGAGGGAAAGATTTTAAGTAACCATAAAAAATGTGTTAAAGAACTTTCCCTCAAAATTCTATTTCTCTTTTCTGTCAAACCAAGAACGAAACGGATCTAACCTAGGGACTAGCTTCTTTTGTCAGTTTTGTCTTGTGTCTGGTTCCTGTCGGTTCCCTTGGACGTTTAAACAACAAAAGACTTGAGAGAAGTTGTGAATGAAAACCATTGCACCAATCGGATGGTTGGAAGTCATCTAATTATGCTAATTTTTCACATAAGCCCATTATTGGGTGAACCTTTCTAGGCCAATCTATTAAGCAGATGAGTGACACTGCTTTCTGGAACAAATTTTGGAGAATACGGGTTTACCCAAGAGATCAAATCAACCCCCCACAACGTCCCACAGCACATCCCTACCATGTATTGAGAATATCTCTCAATGATGTTATCAGAGATGATGATGTCATCATCGAGAGATGTTCACAATACACGGCAGGGATATGATATG